TGTTATTGGTTACGTTGTTTATTAATCCGACTTTCAATACATACAATCTCTAATTCATAACTTTTACAACACAGTAAGATTTTTTGGTGAAAATGTACACGCCTACTTGCATTCTTAAGTTTAAAATAACTTTATAGTACACTCAGTAATAGTGATTAATGTGTTAAGTTATAAGCTTTCTCTTCTATTATAGAAAATGAATTAATTTTCTATTTTCAATATTTTGTATAACACCTAAATTTGAACTGAATAGCGAAACTAACTACTTCATGAATTAAAGTTAGTATGTTAGTGCGAAAATAATAAAATTCTTGATATAAAATGAAATCATCCAATTTCAAGGCTTCTTATAAGCTGTAGATAAAGTTATTAAATGACTTTTAATAAGCGCATGATATATTTTAATTATCATAATGGGGATTTGTGGAGATTTTAGTAATTTTAATAGTTGAGTCGATCAGCCGATCTAAGCCAGATGACCCGTTTAAAACCTGAAAGCATTGGAAGACCGTTTCGTCCTACAATGGGACTCCTCAGCAGTGCGCACTCAAGATTCCACACACGGGACTCGAACGCAAAACCACGAGTTTGAGCCCGAACACTTGATCTCGAGATCACTAAACCGGCATTCAACGCTGTTAATGTGGAACTTCAATCGATCTGTGATCTTGTGCGACCTTTCATCCCTTTTTATGAGGTGGATAACTCTCTCCACCCGACACAGATTCTAATTGGTAAGAGTTAAGATGGAAAATTGGAAAAATAAAAAATATCACAAGTCAAGAAAAAAGATGAGAAATATAAAGTTGAATAATCAAAACTGATGTATATTTTTATGCTGGAAAACACTAGACAACATGCAGTACAGGTAACATTATAATCAATAATCATAGTAAAAACATGTAATCACCTAGATCGTCATAAAAATATCAAGTACTAGATTAAACGAGATGTGATCTGCAGAAAAGCTACTACTCAGTACCACTTTAATTCTTGTATACCTTGAAAGTATAATCCACGAAGATAATATTTCTTTTTTACTGAAATGTTTGTGTTAATGATGTGTCGAATAGTCATTTTGTATTTCATAGTAAATTTCTTTAGGTATCCATTTTCTATGGGTCACTTGTGGCCCTCCATTTTGACATCGATTAGATTAAACGATGTTATCGACGGGCTCACCACTATAGTGGCCCTTATATCTGACTCCAGTTTGGTTGCTACTGAGATATACACGTTGCCAATTCTCGTATATAATTACCAACTTAATCCGCGTTAGTGAATAACGCAATTAAATAAATCAAGTAAGAGAATGGATGTTTGAATACATATATATTTGTATACTCACTGATCTGGACAGGCAGTCAGAGGGACGAAGCGAAGTAAGCAGAGAGAACAGAGTGAAGCGAAACGACGCTCAGTGAAGAAGGCGTGTAAGTCAGATATAGGGGCCAATATATTGGTGAGCCCGTCGACAACATCGTCCGATCTGATTGATGTCAAAATGAAGGGCCACACAAAAAGTGGTGAGCCCGACGTAACATTAATGTGTTAATGGGACTATGATAATTATTTGAATCATAATGGAATGATACGCTGGATGGATCAGTGAGAAAAGTTGACATGAGGACAAAGTATTGGTAAAATAATACGATTTGAGCATGTCCATGTCATGCTGCACAGGCTTTGCTGAATGCTTTGGACTAGAGATTGAGCTATCTTCGCTGAGTTTGTTCGTCGAAAGTATGGAGAGCAGAAGTTCCTTCATCGACGTAGCTCGCTGCGTTAGGTCCGTCGTCTGCGAACTCACCACTTTGGTGACCCCACTAAACACTTTTCGACTATTCACTCTTTTTATTTCACTTCTTATTTACTTAATACACTACATTAGTTGAATTTGACCAAGTAAGCTATATGTCCAAAATACTTAAATTTTGTTGTTTTTTTTACTGATACTGTCCTTGTTATATCTTGACTGTAGTGTTATTTATCTTAAAAATATATTGAATTTTTTTAACCTTAAATGTTATCAATGTTATATTTATATGCTATACTGAAATATATTCCTGTGACTAACTTATCATGATTAGGAGCAAGACTAATATCACTCAAGTGTCATCTACTTGGATTATAATGAAGAATAAACAAGATGTAGGTAAACTTTAAAGAATTTAATGATCTAGATTTTATCTTTATTATCATTTGCTCACAAGTTTAATTAGATTGACCCTTAATAATTATTCACGAATCTTTAGCTTCATAATAATTTAGAAATAAACTTTGATTACTTTTAACAAAATTAAAATGAGTCCTTGTTTTGTTAACTTATCACACACCTTCGTATAATAACTCTATAAATATATTACTTATGTTTTAATGCTTAATATTATCGATTTTTTCTACATGTCTTCTATTTATCACTCATGTTCAACGACTCACTTACTTACACCTGTTAACCTTCGTGAAGGAGCATAGACCGCCCACCAGCACTCTCCATCCAACCCTGTCCTGGGCAATCCTTTCCAGTTGTTTCTAGTTGTTATTCATTCTTTTCATATCTGCTTCTATTTCCCGACGTAGTCTGTTATTCGTCCTTCCTCTTTTCCGTTTTCGTTCAGGACTATATTATTATTATTATGCTTTTACACAACAGTCATGATTTTTTTCTATAGTCAATCAAATTTGTCGGTATACATTGTAGGCAAGCAAGCAAGCAATAGTTTCTTTTAAACATAACAGTACTTTTTTTTACATAATTGAAGGTAGTCTACGAGAAACTTTAAGTTTAAATTTCGTTCTATTTGGTACTCGTCAACGAAATGCATTTTAAATTAAGTAGAAATTCACAATGTTAATCACTACCACTAGACTATTTTGACCTCAAATGTATTAAATGTAGAAATTATATACTTATTAACTAATTTATCACTAAGTAAAGATGATCTTCATGTTTATTTAGTTATTTCATGGTGAATGAATTCTATCAATCAAGTTGTTTCTGTGATTAATTCAAAAGATTCAAAGCTTTATGGGTATTAATTGAGTAATTTCAATGGTTAAGATCATGAGTCAGTTGGAGCTAGACCACCATGGAAAACCTGGAAGCATTGGACGGCCGTTTCGTCCCACAATGGGACTCCTCGGCAGTGCGCAGCAGCGACCTCGCCCCCTGCGAGATTCGAACCAAGGACCTACTGGTCTCACGCGCGTGTACTTAACCACTAGACTACTGAGTTGGCGTCAAACAGTGTTAATGTCTAACTTCAACTAATCCACGAAATCGAGCGACACATCCACCATTGTCTTCAGTGAGTTACTATTTCACAACCGACCTGGTTGAACTCCACTGGTCACTACTTCTCACTAGAATTCCAGAATATACCTCTTGAAGTGAGTCACTAGTCAGCATATAATGATTGTTATCAGATAGGTTTTGTGGATATTATAGTAATTTCAGTGGTTGAGATCATGAGTCAGTACGTGGATGCGCACTGCTGAGAAATCCCACAATCGGACAAAACGGCCGTCCAGTGCTTCCAGGTTTTCCATCGTGGTCTAGCTTCAACTGACTTATGATCTTAACCATTGAAATTACTAAAATATCCACAAAACCCATCTGATATTAATTTTGTATTTATTTTTTTATAAACTCAATCAAACAAAATAATGATCACACTAATGACCTAAATTCGATGAAATTTTCAAATTATTGGATTGTTTTTTGTTTGTTAATTAATGATAAAATGTAGGGCAAAATTGTCAACAACAACAACAACAACAACAACAACAACAAAAATTAATATAGTTAAATAATCCTTTGTAAGTAAATTAGCAACAATAATGAGTGGAATTTCAAACCAGCTTATTTTGATTGCTTATAAAGTAAATCCATGTGGAATATAAAAGTGGTTATATTTTAAAGACAGATATATCCCTATGAAATCCACAATCATAGCTATCTATCGCTGTTGCAGTGTAAATGGTAATCATATTACTTATCTTCCAAATATAATTACATTATTTAGATCCTTTTCGTGAAGCTTAACAGTCGAAAATAAGTTACTGTGTGAGTTATTTGTAACCTGTGAAATATAATAAAACTGAACGTATAAATCTTTTTTTTCTATGGTGGATTAAACACTGTCATTTTAAAAACACTTTATCCTCAAGCAAACCTATGTTTATTAGTATAGGGTTGTGAAGATTGTTGAGTTTAAATTGATATAATGAATGGATTGATGTTAGATCACCATTGAGAACCTGGAAACACAACGGCCGTTTCACCCTAGAATGAGACTCCTCAGCAGTGCGCATCCATGAACTCGCGCTCAGGACTCGAACCTTAAACCTTAGGTCTTGCGGGCGAACACTTAACCTCTAGACCACTAGGCCGGTATTCAACGGTGTTAATGTTTAACTTCAATCAATTCGCGATATCGTGGCACCGTCCACCATTGTCTTCAGTGAGTAAGTGCCTCACAACTGACCCAAATGAATTCCACTGGTCACGGTTTCTCACTAAAACTCCAGGAAAATCCATCTTGAAGCGAAAACGGCCATCTAGTGCTTGCAGGTTTTCAATGGTGGTCTAACACTGATTCATTTATGATATCAATCTAAACCTATATTTAACTGAATTAAGAAAAGTGATCAACTGGATTACATAGTTCTGTCGTAGATTTTAATATGAAGATGTACTGGTGTAATTATTCATTCGATATTTTGTTTGATTAATCATTCCTTCTTATATTTGGAGCATTTATAAGTAGGAAGTAACGGTATTCTCTAGATTTGTCTAAATTCTTGAACTATTATTACTCAAGCAATAATTTCTCTTGTTTTTAAACATTTAATCATATTTCATTAATAACATTCTGATTCAAATAAAATATTTAGAATGAAACACTTTTTTAACGATCTTGAAAGAAGAGAACAAAGCCAACAATATAAAGAATTCAAATTCTACGTTTATTGATGAATTTCGATATATTACGCTCAGAATGTCAATATTAAATCGTGCTGCTGCTGCCACTGCTGAGGATGATGATGATGATGATGATGATGATGATGATGATGATGATGATGATGATGATGATGATGATGATGATGATGATGATGATGATGATGATGATGATGATGATGATGATGATGATGATGATGATGATGATGATGATGATGATGATGATGATGATGATGATGATGATGATGATGATGATGATGATGATGATGATGATGATGATGATGATGATGATGATGATGATGATGATGATGATGATGATGATGATGATGATGATGATGATGATGATGATGATGATGATGATGATGATGATGATGATGATGATGATGATGATGATGATGATGATGATGATGATAATAATAATAATAATAATAATAATAATAATAATAATAATAATGATTTAGATAATCATACAATGATTTTGATTTCTCACTGACTAACCTTATTCATAAACTTTAAAAAAGATTTATATGGATATGTTTGTTTATTTACTTAACAGTTGTTTGATTTAACTATTGTCGGGCTATATTTTTGATATATATTAGGGGGAAAAATAAATAAATCCTTTGGGAAGTACCATTACTCAACTGGATTTTGTTAGTAATCTATTTGATTATATAATAATAGTAATAATATTTAGTTCCCTTTATGATTAATATATAGTAAACTATAAAATACTATTTATTAGATAAATGATGTTTTATTTACATATATAAAAATTAAATGGACAAATCATTCTCAAATGAATTAATCCTGATTAGCATATTCTGACAATCATATTTCTGAAAACAAAAGAAAAATTAAAAAAATAAACGAAATACAAACAAGAAAAGGCAAGAAGTAAAAGGAAAACGCATAGTGATTTTAAGTAGGGAAAAAATTGTTTTTCTTTTCTCTTCAATGTTAGTTCAATATACATTTGTGTTTTAACCAGTTGAAGAGACGATCGACTTTATAACTTTTTTTTTCTAAATTTGATTTCCTGACATGCCATTGTTCCTTTTATTTGTGTGTGTGTGTGTCTATGTACGTATGTATGTATGTATGTATGTGTGCGTTTGTTTTGGTTTTTCTTTTGAATTATTGAACAGAAAGAAACTTCTACTATTATTACAATAACAACAAAAAGAAAGCAAGAAATATATATCCAGTTGGTATATTTTAGAAAAGAGGAAAAAAAACAACAACATGATTTTTGTGAGAAAATAGAATACAGAGAGTTATGTTGGAAAGTAGGTGGAGAAAAGAGAAAGATTGAGGGGGGAAGTGGAATGTTAGAAAACAATTGAATCAAGTGATTCATCAATTGTAAACTTGTTACATGTAATGAATTAAAATGTATTTTTATCAATATAAGTAGTATCTTGAAAGAAAAAAGAAACTGATTGTTATCCTTAGTGAAATAAATTCAATAGATGTTATTTAATAAATGACTATTCGGTTAAGAAAACTATTTAAATTTGACAAGAGTTTGTAGATTCTTCAATAAGTATGAACAGTGAATCGTAATAACTTCAATAACGAAATGATTAATGACTAGTAAAGATCATCCTTATGAAAATTGGCAGTCAATAGATATTAGGGTGTTGTCCTTGGTTGAATATATATCTATGTTTGATGGGTACTGTCTTGCATTTTAGGCAATTTAATAAACTAATGGTTTTGGTTGTGTTGTTTTTTGGTTGTTTACATCACGTACTGTTTCTAGTTAAACAAACGTTAGAAAGTAGGAAGCATTGATTAGTTATTTTGTTGTGGCATGAGGCTGACCAGAATTTTATGGATGACTGAATTAGGGATTAACATGAGGATGTTTTAATATGTTTTAAAAATCGTGATCTTATTCAGTTTTGCTCAAATATAATTATTGTAAAAGACAATATTATTGACCAACTTTCCTCGTCTTTGAGAAGCGTATGGCTATTTTAAGACAGTCCTTAATAAGGGAATCTTGAATTATCAAGCACATTAATACATAAAAAATGAATGTCTGTACTACTACGTAATTGCACAACAGCGATATGAGATAAGATATAGTTCGCCTTCATTCATATCTTAAAGGCTGTTAATGAATAAGAGTATTATACATCATTTCTTCTGCGACAGTAACCTGGTGGGCTTAATCGATAAGAAATCTCTTGATACCTCACTGTTTGTTTCATATAATGCTGTTACAACTTTTCACAAATACTTTGAACTGTATAGTTCATTTTCTCAACCCTTTATTTTGTATCAAGTGTCTTCAATACAAATTTCATTTTCATGATGTTTTACGACAGAACAGTTTCTTAACGGACTCAGTGTTTTAAAGTTATTTGGTGTAATAAATATTTCGCTGTAAAGTAGAATAATACTTGTATTACACCATTGAGGAAATGCATTCTTGAAATCTATTTTGCTGCATGATTCGGCCTGCAAAATAGAATGAATTAAATGAGTATCTGGAAAGTTCACCCTAAAATTTTGTAACACAGCTGATCTCGCTTGGTAATCTCACTTGACCAGAAGAAAGCAAGCTATAAATTCCCCTTAATTTAGGTAACATAAATGTATGACTGATACCTTACTCAACGCAGTTCCCTATAGAATAAAGTGTTAGAACGGCGGTACTTTCTTTACGATCAAAGAAGAATGTGATCAAAACAAGATGATATTCGTCATCCATCATTTAGTGTTTACTTACATGGGCCAATTGTATGAAATTGGATACCTATTAGTAAAATCATTATATTGATTGAAATCGATACCTTTCATGAAGATCATCTTCAACATTCCAAACGCTGTTCATAATATTTTTCTAATGACGCAGGTTAAATCACCAAACTCATATATGTGATTTAATCCTAATTATTCATCAAAATGAGGGTACGATCAATATACAGATGAGTGTATTGTCGATTAGGGTCGTCGTCGTGTTTTTGGGGTTAATAAATCTTCACTTATACCAGTCTTTGTGTTCTTACTTTAGCGTCGTGGGAATTACAGATGTCCCTCGTACTGAGTATAAGTGATAAGTGTTTCCAACACAACAATCAGCGACGACCAGATATAAAAAGTAGCATCCAAACAACAAGACATGTCAATAAATCAATCACTTACTTTGTTTAAAGTTCCAGAGAATGTCTGCGATTTCGACTACTCTTTATATTCGTATAATTGCACATAATGAATTATTTGATTCAATTGTCAGTTAGTAAACATTTATTCAAATTTACATCTTGTGTGGTAAGTTTTCCATAGGTAAATTAATATCGACCGTTGATAGGTGTTAGATTTGTGTGACTAGGGTATACAATACAAAAGATTATGAATGTAATCTAAAATAAAAAGACTTGATTGAATGTTATTGATTCAACAAAAAGTTATTTAAATAATATTTATTTTATTGAGTGAATGTTACGTGCATCTACATATAATTTTAAGTACAATCATTAATCCTGACAGTTGCTGCTACCTTGATGTGGTGGTGAGGGTTTGCCTATCGTAATGAACTAATCGAGCTATACAGGCTGAAACAATCGTCCCTCAAGGCCCTATCATGCCAGGCAGGTCGGTTGAAGAAAGGTGAGACTAAAAGCAGCAAATCCAAGGTCCGAGGACGAAGTCATACTGCCGACTGTACAGAAGTGTGGTGGCAGTAAGTTGTTTCCTTTAGACAACCAGCATAACAGCGATACCACCTTCCCACAAGGAAGGTTGGGGTTAGTAAAGGTTGATCCTAAAAATGTACACCCCGTCTTATCGCACAGATTTCCGTCTCCTGTGGTAAGGTTTCAACAAGTACGAAGCTAGCACGAAAACTACTCACAAAAAGGTCGTGTATGACCGACCTCAAACGGTTGTTCCTTGGGCACTGTGGTCACGCCCTCAGGTCATTAAGACCACCCCTGACCCAATTTTCTTTTTCAGATACCTCTAGAAAAACCCTTCCACAGGAAGCGATAACCGCCATCTAACAGCACTCAAGATCACTGACTGACAATCAATAATAAAATAGTAACGATATGTATAAATTTATGTAGTTCCCGAAATGATTTGCAGTTTTTGTGGTGACAAGAATAAGCATTTTTTATAAAGACCAAATATTTTATTTAGTTTGAGGTTGTGGAGACTGAACACAGTAACATCGTGGATTGGTTGGAACTTGACATTAACACCGTTGGATTCCGTCTCGGTGGTCCAAAGGTTAAATGTTCGTAAGCGAGACCGAAAGTTCTGGGTCCGAATCCCGCATGCGGGGTCATTGATGAGCACTACCGAGGAGTTTCATACCAGGACGAAATGGTCGTTCAGTGCTTCCAGTTTCTCAATAGCTGTCTAACATTGACCGGTTCATAATTCTAATAATATAATATTAGTCTGTTTTATTACATCAGTTTACTACTGTATGTTTTATTGGTAAATAATTTGCAAAACTAATGATGTAACATACTGTTATTACCAATGTATTTTTAAAGGATGAAGTTAGTCGAATCAATGGTATGAATTAGTAAGCAAGGACACACATGAAGGCAACGTTAAATATTATGAAAAACATTAAAAAGAAGTAAATGAATCTTTCAAGCTTTTCTAGCCGTATACTTTAGGTATGTGTGCATTGTCGTGAAATGTACCATATTATGGTATTCAGTAACAAATATATATGTTTAGAGGTTTATATAGTTTTGGTGCCTAAACATCTTAAAATAGAAATTTTGTCCAAATTACTTCCCCTCAGTGCATCCTTCGATCTGAGATGCAATTTGAAATTAGCAACAGTTTCGACTGTTTGGACTTTTGGTGTGAATGTTTTAAAAAAGTGAAAACATTGATTGTTCAAATTGCTAACTACAAGGTATACCTACTTAACGAATAATATAATTACACATGCGTAAGATTACTTGAAAAAATGTGCCAGATATTGACAGAGTGGGTCATTCTGGTACCAAAAACTTATATGTTATATGTGCTTTGGATACCCTAACAACTAATAAAGTTGAAGATAGTGTCCTGAATAGTTTACCAGAATCAGTTTGGATATCAATCAACACCCTGAATCATAGTCTACCCCTTGGATGTATATACAGAGCTCCTGATAGTTCGAATAATGGGAATGATCTTATTATTAATGCATTCATACATGCGTCTGCTCCAAACTTTAATGCTAAGGTTATCACTGGGGATTTCAACTATCCTGAGATTAACTGGAGTACCGCTAGTTGTCAGTCATGTAATGATGAGTTCTCGGCAATCATTAACGTGCACTGCTGGTCACAGTGGGTTTGTACCCCAACTAGAGGCGATAGTATACTCGATCTAATATTTAGTAGAGATGTTATCCCACTATCTGTAAACGTATACGATGAATTTGAAAGCAGTGATTATAAGATAGTAGTTTGCGCACTCCCTATCTATCCCTCTTATAACCGACCCATTCAAAAAACATGTCAATATAGA